CTGTTCCTGGGGTGACTGATGGGGTGGGGGTGCTGATGGTCCACAGGGCCACCAACCATGCCGCTGTTGGGACCCTGGCTTCAGTTTAGGGGCACGAAGGGTTTTGTTTTTGCTTAATTTTTTAGAAAGTCATGTCATTGAGATATAAGTTGCCTACAGTAAAGTCTCTCCTCTTTATATCGTTAAGCAAGCTTTGACGACCACACGTTGTCCTGTAACCACCACCACAAGTAAGATACAGGACAGTTCCCTCACCCTGAAACATTGTCTTCTGTGACTTTGTACTTAGCCTTTCTTCCCTTGTCCCCCAGCCCCTGGCAGCCATTCATCTCTTTTCTGCCCTATATTTTCACCTATTTCCAAATGTCCTATAAATGGAATCTTATGGGGTATAGCCTTTTGAGTCTGGCTTCTTTCACTTAGCAGAGGGCTTTTAGATTCCCCGGCTGTCATGTGTCCTGGTGGTTTGTATCAGAGGCCTTTTCTTCCTGAACAGTATTCCTTTGTGGGGAGGAAACGCTGCTGTTTATCCATTCGCCATCTACCTTTAGTAGTTGTGTGTGGGTGTCGGTGTACATGTACGTTTTCTTTTGTGTTGTGTAAATACCTGGATGCGGGATTCCTGGGCAGTATGGCACGTGCATGTTTAACTTCGTAAAAGACGGACAGGGTGCCTGGCTGGCTCAGGCGGTCGGGCGTGTGACTCTCCATCTCGGGGTTGTACGTTGAGACCCCATACTGAGTGTAGAGATTACTTACGTAAAATAATAATAAACAAGCCTGCTGAAGTGTTTTCTAAAGTGGCCATGTTGCTTCATATTCCCACTGGCGATATTTGGGAATTCTGGTTTCTCCGTGCCCCTTGCCAGCATTTGGAGGTGGTGTTGTTTTAATTTTTTTCAAGTTTTTAAAAATTTTTAAATTTATTTATTTATTTTGAGACACCAGGAGAGAGAGAGAGAGAGAGAGAGAGAGAGAGAGAGAGAGCGAGCGAGCACCAATGGGGGAAGGGCAGAGAGAGAGAGTCCCAAGCAGGCTCTGTGCTCGATCCTATGTACTGTGAGATCATGACCTGAGCCAAAATCAGGAGCTGGGTGATCAACCCACTGAGCCACCAGGCGCCCCGGTGTTGTCATGTTTTAATTAAGCTATTCTGATAGTGATACAGGGACTTGGTAGTTGTTCTCAAACACTTGCAAGTCTGTTGTGTAGAAGAGGAATTACAGTTGTATCGTGTGGCCCTTAGGAGTATATCTAGGTCATTGGGGGAAGTAGAGGGACACAGATTTTAACTCTGTACAGAGCATAGTTTTTATGGGGCAAGTTTGGCTGGGCTTTGCTATAAAGTAGTGAGCTCCCTCACCAAACAGTCTTGGTGGCCATTTGGGGGATTCTGGCAATCATCTGGATGGAGGGGCTGTACCTCTTCAAAACGTCTTTCAACCTTGAGGTGCAAGCAAAAAAAGAAAAACTTTATTTTTAATTGACTGGGGATGGGGAGGATTTTCTGCAACACTTGCCATTAATTTGGAACGTCCAGGCTTAGCATATCTTGGGAGTCTTCTTGAGGTGCCCTGTGGTCCTACTGTGCTTTCTACCTTCCTTATTGTGGAAGGATAGGCATTCAGGCAGCATTTTCCCCTGTCAGTCTGCTGTGTGTTGGCTTCTCAGATCTGGGCAGCCTTATTTCTTGTGTGTTTCATGTATGTTCACACCTTTGGAGCAGGAAAGGGATAATCCTGTCCAGAGACAGTGTAACGTAGTGGTTGAGGCCCTGGCTCTCCAGTTGGAGCCACGTTTACGTGGGGTGGGGGTGGACTGTTTTCCTGGCTGTACAGTCTTTGTGGATGTCACTTTCTCACGGGATGATCATAGCACATCCGTGGGAGGGCGCTCTGGGGGTTAATCGAGTAAAGACAGAGTGCACTTAGCACAGAACCCAGCACCTGGGTTGTGCAGTGTCCGCACTCATTTCACTGTCTGTATGATTGGCTGTCCCTAGGTCCTCGCATCTTCGAGCAAGTGTCCTCATTCTGCCGGAGGCTGAGACAAGAGGCCGTAGCTGTGTGTGGTGACAGATCTGATGGCCTCTCTTTATGTCCTGCTTCTCTCTCCAGCTTCCTCAGAAGCCAAGGAAGGGATACATTTTTCTGTTGCCTCGTTTACAAAATGGGGTGAAAATTCTTTACCTCCCGGGACGCAAGTTGCTGAGCCTGGTGGTACTTTTCATTTCCCAAACTCTAGATTTGCTGTTTCTGTGATACTTCTTGGACCTGATTATAGTACAGAGCACCTGTTCTCGCATGGCATGGTGTCTCCGAGGCCCTTTCTGGGGGCCAGTGAGGTCAAAACTGTTTTCCTAATGATCGTAAGAAGCCACTTGCCTTTTCCACTGTCATTCCTCACACAGACTTTGCTGTAGGGCAGAATTTTCTAGAGGCTCCATCCCTCGTGTGTGATATTACACAGAGAAAAGACTCTAGCCATCTCTATCAGGCCAGATGTCAACAGCATTGTAAAGATGCGATGTCACTCTTCTTGCTACGTTTTTTGTTTTGTAATGGAAAGGGGCAGTTAACTTTTTCAGAAAGAAAGTCTTATGTGAACATTTTTGCTTATTTTAAAATTAGATATTTAAAAATTCTTTCTTAGTTTTAATTTCTAATCTGGTAGACATCATCAGATAGATATAACCCATGTAAACAAAAGCTCTTGGGAGTTCTCAGTCATTTTTAAGGTTGTAAAGAGGTCCTAAGATCAAAAGCTTTGTGGACTTTAAGGTTAAGACCTTGGGCTCTGGGGTCAGGTAGACAGAGGGAGGTCTAATTCTCAGTGGTGTCATTTATTGGCTCTGTGACCTGGACAGTTTTTGTTTCCTGATGTGTGAAATGGGAATGACAGCAGTGTCTTCAGTAAGGGGATGGGATGTATCTCAAAAACTGCCAGGTACAAAGTAAGTGCTAGTCGTGGTGGTCCTGTGGGAGGCAGCGAGGCACGGAGGTGGAGAGGGCGTGCTCTGCATCCAAGTGCCTGGGCTCTCCTCCAGGGCATCACTTGCTCTTTGTGCAGGTTTGAGTCGGTTACCTAACCTTGCTGGGCCTCATTTTTCTCAGCTATGAAATGGGAATGATAATGTTAGTGCCCACCCAGGTTTGTTGGGAGATTACATTAATGCCTGGGACATCTGTGTTGGCTGCTCTTGTATGGGTTGGCGGTGGCCGTGAACATCAAAATTCCTCTCATCCAGATGCTCCTTGTCTTTTTATCCCATTGTCTTGGGTTTGCCAGTCCTGCAGGGATCGTTGCCTGCTAAAGTTGTTTAGAGGGTTGGCTCATCGGCATTACTAGAAGAGGCATCAGACACATGTCCAGAGGAAGCCCCACTTGTCAGAGAGCTGGCTGAGTTATTGCAGACTGGATGACAGTGTAGACCTGGCTCTGGGTTAAGGCTCATACAAGTGACTTCATTTGCCAGAAGAGGAAAAAGTTACAGCTTGCACAGCTGTAACCAGCTGATTTCTAAAACTCTGGGGACAGGGGTAAGGGTCCAGGGTCTTTTGGGGACAGGTGAGGGAAGGCTTCTTAGGCCGTGGAGTAGAACCATGTGGGGCGGGGGAAGTGCTCGTGGGAAATGCTGGTCCTGGGCCCCACCTCAGAGGGCATTCTGACCCAGAGGTCTGGCCGGGAGCACAGGAACCCTGGGTGTTATGGTGGTGATGGTTTTATAATAACATGCACTTTAGGGGGTACTACACTCAGGTGGTGGGGGTACCCACTTTGCATAATGCTGAACTGAGTGGTGGAGGCTCCTGCCTCACACTGTGCTCTAGCCTGTCCCTCCAAAGTGTCGAAGTGCCCATCTTTTGTCGTGGGGGGCACTTGGCTTGCATAAGCAGTCAGCCAACAAGGATCAGTCGGGGGGCTGGTGGTCAAGATGGCACAGGGTCAGAAGACCTGCATCTTGCCCTTTGCGTGTTTCGGGACTGCTGGGGAGACAGGCACTCTGTTCCCTGTGAATCACCCTCCCGGAGCACATCCATAAAATGAGATGGCTGCTGTGATTTCCCGTGACCCCACCTAGGATCTCGGAGGGGGTAGTGGCTGTCCCAGGGGAATATGTGGACAGAGTCAAAGACAGAAGCACCACTGATCTGTCTCTGTGTCTCTGACATTTGGGTGAGATGTTTTCTTCTTAGAAAAGGATTTGGATCTTGTCAGAGGTACTGGTGGTGGCCATTGCTGCGGCTGTTCCTTAGTAGTAGCATAAGGCATAGGATGCCCTTTGGGACACTCTCAGTTCTGGGCACAGGTGATGAGGGCCTGATATGAATGGACTGAGCAGCCAGAGGCCCCATGACTTACCTGCAGCACATTACATTGACCTTAGTCGTGACCAGCTCTCTCTGAAAGCCTTCTAGGAGCCCATATACCTGGGCTGGTTGGGGCAGGTCCTTGGGGCATTTGGAGAGGTTGGAGAAGGAAGCTGTGCAGTGTTCATTCAGCCCTTGTTGGGGGCAGGGACACAGACCTTGGGCCCCAGCCTCAGAGGCGGCTGCCTTGGGCCTCAGGAGCTTCTCTGGGTCCCTCCTGTCCCTCCTTCTGCAAGCCATGTCTTCCATTCTGCTCAGGGCTCATGTTGGTCTCTCCATGCCCAGGTGTGGATAGCTGCTGTTTCCAGACTAGGCAAAGTTGTGCCAATCAGGCCCTAGAAGGGTTCTATCTTGGAGGTGTCAAAGCTGGGCTGGGAAGAGAGTGGGAGTCCTCAGCAGGACCAGCAGAGTGGGTGGGTGATGCTTCGATGCTGGAGCAGACAGCCCGGGCTTGGGTCTCAGTTCCCCCTCTTACTCCCGACTCGGCGTTGTCATCTGAAAGGCAGATGCTAGCAGGACCACCTGGTAGGGTTGTTGGGCTTAGCTGACTCAGGCCAAGGGCTCAGAACAGTGCCTGGTAGACCCAGTGAGTGCTAAATGCAAGTTCACTTTGTTGTTTTCCCCCGCCAGGTACCACCGGGAAGGCGCCATCCCCTCCACCCCTCCTTCCTGACCGGCAAGTGAACGAGAAGGTGGAGAACCTCTCCATTCAGCTGCGGCTGATGACCCGAGAGAGGAACGAGCTGCGGAAGCGCCTGGCCTTCGCGACACATGGGACGACCTTTGACAAGAGGTGGTGATCAACACCTGCTCCCCTGCCCGGGCCCGATGGACAGGGGCTACTCTCCTGATGCCATCGTGTCCCCCCCCCCCCCCCCCCCGCCCCCCACCGCATGCTCATCCTTAGCTCCCGGTGGTGCATATGGCATTGCCAGTGTCCCTTTGCCCCAGTCCCTACTGCACTTTGAAACACTGTCCCCACAGCCCTGGGTGGGGGGGAGGGAACACAGGCTGCTTATGCTTCCTCCAAGCCAGACTGGAGCTTGTGGCCTGAGTCACATACCACATGGAGATTGAGAAGTGTGGGTGTGTCTGTCATCTATCCGTCCCCTATTCATGATCATTTGGTGGGTGGTTTTGGCAGCAGCTGGCGGGGCCTGGTCCCACTCTGGTGCCTCCTCACCGGTTTGTTAGGTGGTCTTGGGTTCATCACTGCCCCTCTCTAGGCCTCTGCCTTCCAGCACCAAGATGGTGTGCTTCCTCTCTATCTCTGTCTGCTGCTTGCATGCAGCCCCTGTCCTAATAGAGATAGTGATCCCATGGCTGAGCTCCCGACCAGTCCCAGCTACGTGCATGCGTGTGTGTGCACGTGTGTGTGTGTGTGTGTGTGTGTGTCTGCGTGTGCATGTGCCGCTCCTCCTCACTGATACATGGGTCGTTATATGTTCACACATTAATTGTTCCCTGCCACATGTGTTTTAGGAGGGTATATTCCACCTGGCTTCTTTGTTGTTTTGAAGAAAATCTTTGCTTCTTTTGGGATTTAGAGGTAGATACCAAGGAAGGGTGGTCCATGGGGTGGGGCAGAGGGAGAGTCTTTACCCACCTGCACAGTCCAGGGGAGCTTCATAGAGGAGGAGGAGGGATACAGTGTGATTCATCCTTCCGGGAGATGCTGGTAGGGATTCTGAGGGGAGGGGGATTGCCCTTAGGGGCATCAGAGTTGTGTGCCTCTTCCTGAGGAAGGTTCCTCTGGGGTGATGTCAAGGCTGCAAAGCCTGTTCTTTCAGGCTGTGTTGATGACGATATGGTCCTCAGCACAAAGGGAGGGCCAGTGGAGACCCAGTGTGCTAGAGTCCATACTGTCCCTGGCTGCTTTCATGCTACCAAGGCAGAGCGGGTAGTTACACAGAGCTGTGTGGCTGGCAAAGCCTGAAGTGTTTACTGCCTGGCCCTGTACGAGAAAGGTTACTGACGCCAGCTGTGGGCAGGGGTTCTCGAATTTGTGCACTGGAATCACCAGAGGGCTTGTTAAAGCACCGCTTGCTGGTTAGCCCTCCCTCCCTTCCAGGTGCCTGATTCAGGGGTTCTGGGGCTGACCTGAGGTTTGCAGTTCTCACAGCATTAGGTGAAACGAACGCTGCAGGTCTGGGAACCCCACTCTGGGAAGCATTACTCCTGGCCAGTGTTCTCAACCGTGGCTGCACACTGGAATCCCTGGGGGAGTTTAAAAAAAAATCCTGATGTCTGGGTCACATCCCTAAGGATGCTGATGTATTTGGCCTGGGCCTTGGCGTTTTAATGTGCACCCAGGGTTGGCAGTCACTTTCCTAAAAAGAGGAGAAACTCCATCCTAGTTTCTGGCATGCCCACTGTGTGTGAAGGCCTGTTGCACAGTCTCCCGGGAGCTGCTAGAGAATAAGACAGCACCTTTTTAGCTCTCCAGGCTCAAGCAGGGAGCCCAGGCAACCAAGGCCCTCCATCCTAGGGGTCTTGTCGGTCTGGGGAGGCCAGGATGTCTGAGCAGAACAAACCCCAGGTGGTCGTGGTGTGTAGGAGCCAGTATCCGGGGACGCTGGGCTGGAGGTTTCCTGGGGCAGAGACCTTCCTTGTCCGAGTGGTCCCGGAGCCCGTGTTCACTGTTGCTGTCTGGGCCAGGCCCTACCACAGGCTGAATCCCGACTACGAGAGGCTGAAGATCCAGTGTGTGCGGGCCATGTCGGACCTTCAGAGCCTGCAGAAGCAGCACACCAATGCCTTGAAGCGGTGCGAGGAGGTGGCCAAGGAGACCGACTTCTACCAGTGAGTGGGCCCATTCTTTGCCTCTAGGCTGGGAGCCAGCGGTTCTGGTGCCGTCTAGCAGGCAGTGGGCCTTCAGCAAGTGGGTTTGGGTCTTTGGGTCTCAAGTGGGTTTTTCTAAGCACGGGGCGAGGTGTGGAGCCTTCACACCATCTGGTGACAGCTTGGAAGCGCAGCGGGCAGGAAAAGGATCAGGCCCGTCAGGTTGCTGCGCTCCTGGGTCACGGTCCAGGACCCAGCTGCAGCTCCTGCAGTAGGAGAGGCAGATGGGCATGTTCCCCTTTGGTCTCCTGGGGCCCCTCTTAGGCTGTTGGCTGGCCGTACCTGCCCGTCTGCTGCCCTTTGCCCTGCCTCAGTACTCAGAGGTGCCGGGCCTGTACCAAGTAAGGGCTCAGCCCTCACCTTGGCCTTCATACGTGTGCCCTTTTTGGTGTCAGGTTTTTAAAAAGTGGTTTGGGTCCTCCTGGCATTTGGCTGATACCAAGCTTTGGCCTGCCTCTGAGTGCCGCTACCCTGGTTGCTGTGTGGGCTCCCACTGGGAGTCCTGGGACCTGGAGGGGCTGGAGAGGGTTGGAGGCTGGCTGGGGTTCACTGTGTGTGCGGGGATTATAGCACACTCCATAGCCGGCTCCTGAGCGACCAGACCCAGCTGAAGGATGATGTGGACATGCTGAGGCGGGAGAACGGACAGCTGTTGCGGGAACGTAACCTGCTGCAGCAGTCATGGGAGGACATGAAGCGGCTCCATGAGGAGGACCAGAAGGAGATTGGTGACCTCCGGGCCCAACAGCAGCAGGTACAGCCAGGCAGGGTGGCTGGGGGCAGACCGAGGTTGGGTAGCCTCCTACCCACTCGTTCATCTGCTCATCATCCATCCTCCCACCTATCATCTGTCTTCCCACCCACCCTCCATCATCCATCCTCCCTCCACCATCCATCCTCCCATCTCCCATGCATCTTCTCACTCATCAGCCATCCTCCCACTTATCAGCCATCCCCCTACCTCCCATCCACCCTCCCACTCATCCTCCATCCTTCATCCTCCCACCTCCCGTCCATCCTCCCACCTCCCGTCCATCCACCCACCTCCCGTCCATCCTCCCACTCACCCTCTACCCTCCCACCTCCCATCCATCCTCCCACCTCCTGTCCGTTCTTCCACCTCCCATCCACCCTCCCACTCATCCTCCATCCTCCATCCTTCCACCTCCCGTCCATCCTCCCACTCATCCTCCATCCTCCCATGTATCATCTGTCTTCCCACCCATCATCCATCATCCATCCTCCCTCCATCATCCATCCTCCCATCTCCCATGCATCTTCTCACTCATTATCCATCCTCCCACCTCCTGTCCATCCTCCCACCTCCCATCCATTCTCCCACTCATCCTCCATCCTCACACCTCCCATCCATCCTCCCACCTCCCGTCCATCCTCCCACTCATCCTCCATCCTC